GGGGAGGGGAGGGGGAGGGGAGGGAGGGCTAGGCTCAGACCCAGAGCATTCCAGAGTTCACAAAGGTCTGTCATTCAAGGCCAGACTGAGGCTTTGAATGCCATACTAAAACACTTGAACTTTGCATTCTAGACAGTCAAGAACCACTAAAGGCTTAGAGGGAGCCCATATTATCATGCTTTTATAACTTATTCAGTAACTATTTCATTTAACTTATTTAAGCAACAGCTCAATGGTGCATAATTAGGCTGTATCAATAAATGAAATAAAGGTTCTTTCCTTTAAGAATAATCCGTATCATCATGAAAAGATGAACAAAAATGTTGTAAAGTACATTACAGAGCATATTGGGTGGAAGACGGTATGATGAAAGAAAGCTGAGAAGGTTGGGGAATTGGGGTGCAGGTGGCAGAACTGAAGTGGCCAAAAGGTGACTTCCTGGGAGTGTCCCAGGAAGCGGACAGAGCGCGCAAGGCCCTGCGGCAGAAGGGTGCTCGGTGCCTGCTCAGGAACGGCCACCAGGCCTGGGGCTGCAGAGAGGCAGCAGTGGGGGAGGTGAGGGACCCTGGAAGGGTCACCTCGCAGATCCTTGTAGGCTAAGAAAGGGCGTGTGGGCTGGAAATGTCTCCCCAGAAGCTGGATGTAGCCCTTGGGATTCAAGGGGTGGAGGGCCTGTGGCGAGACAGACTTGGAAGCTGCTGGCAGATGCGCGGAGCTGTGCTGTGAGGCTGGGGGAGCGCGCCGAGGTGGGGAGCGTGGCTAGAGAAAGCCGGGGCGAGGAAAGGACTGAGGCCCAGGGGCTCTAAGTGCCACCCAGCAACCTTTCCTCCCCAACACCATCACCTCCCCTCCCAGGACATCACATCGCCTGGCTTCCCAGGGCCAGGAGTGGCAGAAGCCGGCAGTCCGGTGGAGGTGTTGTGCGCCAGGCAGCTGAGTACAGATGCTAGCAGCAAGTGGGGGCCCGGGCTCAGGAGGGGTCTGAGCTGCCTATGTGGCTCTGAGGTTCTTCCCTAATGTTTGTGAGCAGTGGTGGCAGAAAGAGCAAAGGGCCAGGGTCAGGTGGCACAGGGCCCGCTGGGAAGAAGAGGGAAGGAAATGGCAAAGGGTGCCTGCAAGGAATGAGGATCCTTGGGAGCGGGGAGATAGCTCAATGGATTAAGTGCTTGCTTGGCAAGTGCAAGGTCCTGAGTTCGATCCCAGGTACCAAATGCGGATCCTGAGATCCATGATTGAATGAGGAGTGCGTGGATTCTGAGGACAGGACAAGTCCGCGGGGAAGGATCTGAGCCCTGGAGTCAGCCAGTTGCAGAGGGTTCCTAAGCTAGTAGCCTCCTGTGGGATTCCTCAGCAGCGAAGCCCTAGGAATCAAGCCCCTCCCCAGCACACAAGGAGTCCCTCAGCTCTTTAGTGGCTACATCGAAAATACTGGTGCATGCCTATAAAGTCAGATACAGGGGAGGCTGAGACAAAAGGAACACAAGGTCAAAGCCAGACTAGGCACTGTAGCAAGATCTTGTCTCAAAATTTAAAAAAAAAAAAAAGGTAGAATGCCTGCCTAGCAAGGGCAAGCCCCTGGATTTAATCCCCACCACTGCAACAACAAATAAATAGAGAATAAAAAGGGCTGGAGATACAGCTTAGTGGTGCTACAGCTTAGTGGTAGAGTGCTTGCCTACCATGCAGAGGCCCTGGGTTCAATCCCTAACACTGAGGCCAAAATAATAGACATCCAAACTGCAATGGCCACCACATACCTGAGGAAAAACCCCACTTTGAATAACAGAAACCAAGGCTGGTGAGATGGCTCAGTGGTCTAAAGCACCTACTTAGAACAAGCGTAGCAAAGCACAGGGACCGCGGTTCAACCCCCAGCACCTCATGCCAGCCAGCCCCGCCCCCTGGGAAAACAGCAAAGGGTGCCTGCAAGGAATGAGGGTCCTGAGAGCCTGTCCAAGGTGTCACACACACACACACACGTAAGTAAATAAATTTTAAAAAATAATAATAACAGAAACCAAATCAAAGCATCAGAGAAAGATAAAAGGGAAAACAGGCTTTTGTGCTTACAAGTTGGATAAGAATTAAAATGAGAGTCATTTAAGTTAGCAATTAGAAGGTAAATGGCCATATCCCCAGGAGTCAGTAGTCATTAAGTGGATGGGGTTGGGGGTGGCTGTCTTTTGTTATTTGTTTATATTTTCTGAGCTTTCTGTAAAGAACAGCTAATGCTTTGCAAGAAGAAAGGGGGAAAGGATTAATCCTTTGGCAGCTTTGGGGAAAGCGATCTCAGTAAAACATGTTTATGAATCAATTTTTTCCTCCTGTCTCTTTCCAAAAAAGTTTTTAAGGTGACTCAAGGGGTGGGCCAGTAGTGTGACCAACCAACCTCTGCTCGGGACAGATCGGTTTCCAGAACAGACTTGCACCATCTGAGGTGGCCAGTGACCCTAGATTTTGTAATTTGCAAAGATCTCTCTGGGTCTGTGGGTCTCCAGCCATCCAGCAAGAACAGTGGGCAGGGCAGGGAGAAAACCAAGACCCAGGGAAGTTTCTTGTCCCTTGGCTAAGAGAGTCGAAAAGGCGGGAGACTCTGAAACCGCATGCATGTCACATTGATAAAACAAAATTTATTTTTTTTTTTAAAATAGAGAGAGTGGAAATCTTGAATGACAGAAAGCAAGCAAGCCTGGGGCGGGTGGGGCTCAGAGGGGCACAGGAGATGGGAATACCATACGTCTTTATGGTGGGCGTGGTTTCGTGGGTATATACAACTGTGACTCCTTGAATTGGACACTGTAAAGGGGTATGGCTTATTGCACTTCAATTATACCTCAATTAGAGGTAGAGAAAGCATCTGAGAAGGGCCAGCACCACTCCCTGGGGACACACACCTGGCCCACACCTGATCACCTGCTTGTGCACGCAGTGTGATCAAACTAGACAGTGTGTGTTTAAATTAAAACATTTATTATAGTAAAAGACACATCGCTAGCTGGGCCTGGGGATGTGCATCTATAACCCCAGCACTTGAGAGGCTGAGGCAGGAGGATCACTGTGAGTTCGAGGCCACCCTGGGCTACATAGTGAGATCAATGAATTATATAGTGAAACCCTGTATCAAAAAAAGAAAAAAACAATCAAACAAGCAAAAAAACCCAAAAACCAAAAACAACAGGCCACTGTTAACTCCCCTCCAAACCCTCCCCCTTGCTTCAAACACACACAAGCCATCTCTTTAAGGCAGGTGAGACCACAGCAGGATCTCTCTCTCTCTCTCTCTCTCTCTCTCTATATATATATATATATATATATATATATATATATATATATATATATATATATATATATATATTTTTTTTTTTTTTTTAATGTATTTAGTGCAGGGTCTACAGGATCTCATTACACAGATTGGACTCGTAATGATCCTCCTGTTTTCAGCCTCCCAAGCACTGGGATTACAAGCGTGTGCCACCACACCCAGTCTATTCTCTGGTTTTTTGTCTTGTTTTGTATTTTAGAGAAGGGTCTACAGGGTGTTCAGGGTCTCATTACTAGATCAGACTCATAGTGATCTGCCTGTTTACAGTCTTCCAAGAGCTGGGATTACAGGCACGTGCCACCATGCCCAATCTCAGTTTCTGTCTCAGCCTGCCCTGGGGGCGGGGCTGACACAACAGGCCCGGAGAATCAAACTCTCAGCCCCTGCACCTGCTTGCAGGCCCTTTCATCTGCTGAGCTATTTGGCCGGCCCTTATTCTCTGCATTTTTTATCACCCCTTGGACAGGCCCTCAGGAAAGAGAACTTCCAGAACTGTCCCAGAAAGTGGCAAGAATGGTGGGACAAGGGTTTGAAGTGAGGGGGATGTTCTGAGGGGTACTCATGGCAACGTGTCTCTCACTGTACCGTGCTTTCCAGTCCCACTCGGCACACACTCAGGCCTCCCACCCGCACCTGTCCTGTACTGCACCCCTACCCCGTGGACAGAGCACCTCCTGGTGCTGTCCCCTTCCTGAAGATCAGACAGACTCCCCAGCGGGCTGCCCTCTTGCTGAATTCTTCTCTTTGTCCCTAGGATGCCAACCTATCTGTGTACACAGACAACCCAGATCTCACTCCCTGCTTCCAAAACTCGCTGCTGGCCTGGGTCCCCTGCTTCTACCTGTGGGCCGCTCTGCCCTGCTACCTGTTCTACCTGAGGCACCAGCACCATGGCTACATCGTCCTCTCCCACTTGTCCAGGATCAAGACGGTCAGGGCTCGGGGCTCTTCTCGGGTTGGGGATGGGGCTGGGGCTGGGACCCTCCCACCCCCTGCCCGATGGCTGCACTGGGATCCCCACCTCACTTGCCTGTGGCTCTGGGCCCTGGCTGAGGAAGTTACTTCCTGCTCAGCCCCAGCGGAACTTCCCACCCACCCTGCCCCAGGGAGCTTCTGCCCAGAGCCCCTTCCAGACACAGGTCCAGGTCTAAGCAGGGCAGTGGCTTCTGATGGCTTCAGGAGCAAAGCTCCTCCCTGGAAGACACTGCCCTGGCTTAGGGACAAGGCTCCAACCTGTGCCCTGTTCACAGGTCCTGGGCATCCTGCTGTGGTGTGTCTCGTGGGCAGACCTCTTCTACTCCTTCCACAGCCTGGTCCAGGGTGGAGCCCCTGCCCCCATCTTCTTTGTCACCCCCCTGGTGGTGGGGATCACCATGGTCAGTGTGGGACCCCCGAAGGAGGATGGGGTGGACCTCTTGGGCTGTGGGTTGTGATGGGAGATCTGTGGGCTTTGAGAAGGCTGGGCACTCCAGAAGAGGACGGGGTAACTCTAGAAGCCATATGGGGTGCAGAGACACAGAGGCACGTCCAGATGTGTGCATCAGGTGTGCAGCCCAGCCTCCCTGGCCTCCCCACACAGATGCTGGCCACCCTGCTGATCCAGTATGAGCGACTGCGCGGGGTGCAGTCCTCCGGAGTCCTCATCATCTTCTGGTTCCTGTGCGTGGTCTGTGCCATTGTCCCCTTCCGCTCTAAGATCCTTTTGGCCCTGGTGGAGGTTAGTGTTGGGGGCGGGGCACCTGCAGGGGTGACCTGAGGTCACGGCTGGCTCCCAGGTCCTCCTCTGTTGAACAGTGGAAGGGTGCTGGGGAAGGGTGGGAAATGGACCCAAGATGCTGCACTGTTGGGCGCTCTCGGGAGGTAGAGAAGACCCCTGGCCCCCAGCCATCCCCCAGTGCAATGTCTGCCTGGGGTGTCCATGTGCTCAGAGAGCCCCTGCTTCCCAGGGGCCCCGCTGCTGTGTTCTCCTCCTTCCTTTTGCTCTTGATGGTGGGGGGCTGTGACCCCCATTCTTTCCATAGCACCCCTGACCTCCTGGGGGATCTCCGCACTGTATTTAACCCTTCACAGTCTTGCTGTCGTCACTGCAGAACTTACAGAGACTAAGCCTCCCTGGCTGCAGGCTGTGGCCTGGGGCGCAGTTAACACAGGGCAAGTGCAGGCAGAGGCCTGGCACTGGGTGCGTTCTCACCCGGCCACAGACCCTTAATCCTTCCCACCTCACAGAATCTTCTAGATGAGGATCCCCAGAAAACCCAGAGAGCTGTGTACCACAGAGAAGGGGCTCCCTAGGACAGGGGTGCAGGCAGGGCCTCCCAGATTCCTGACCTCTTCTCCTTCCCCCCCAGGGGACCATCTCAGACCCCTTCCGCTTCACCACCTTCTACATCTACTTCGCCCTGGTGCTGTCCTCCCTCATCCTGGCCTGCTTCAGAGAGAAGTCGCCGCTTTTCTCCCCGAAGAGTGAGGACCCTGTGAGTTTGTCTTGGAGGGTGTGGGGGGCTCCATAGCCTGCTCCTCGACCCAGCCTGGCCAGGCAGCCCTCATCCCTCTAAAAAGAGGACCACAGTCTGTAAACTGAGGCTGGGAGCAGGAGGCAGTGAGGCTCTTCGTTCTCCTAATATGCCTTGAGGGGCTGGGGGACACCCCTGACCCCCCATCCCATTCTGTTGCCTCTAGAACCCCTGCCCAGAGGCCAATGCCGGCTTCCTGTCACGCCTGTTTTTCTGGTGGTTCACAAGGTGAGCTGCCTCTTGCTCCAGCCTGGATCACAGGGAGGGAGAGATGCAGGAGAGGAAGGGTAGGCCAGAGCCCAGGAACCTGAGGAGGTGGCCTTGCTCCTGTCCCCACCCCAGGGCCACTGCTGGGCAAGATGGGAATGTCAAGGCCAGGGCTGAGTACAGTCAGCCTGGCCTGGCCGTGCTCCCGGGCTAAAAGCCAACCCTGTATCTGGTGGCCACAGGGACAGGCCCAGGGGGGCAGGAAGGGACCCTGATTGTACTGATCTCTTCTGTCTTGGAGAGGCTTGCAGCTTGTCATCTCCTCGGCTGCCCCTGCGACCTGGTGACAACTCATTAACTAGGAAGCACCGAGAAACACCTGAGGCCGGGCTGAAGGATTTTTATCACCAGGGCCTGGGGACAAATAGGGGTCTGGGGAGGAGGGTGAAGCAGGGGACGGCAACCTGCAAGCTCTCTTTCTAGAAGCACCTGAGGAAGAGTCTCCCTTTCTGGAGACCTTGGGGCTCCAGAGACCCTGGCCACCCATTTCAGTTGCTAAATTCTGAGCCTGTGAGGGGCTTCTGTCCCCTCTCCCTGCCCAGGCTGGCCATCCTCGGCTACCGGGGTCTCCTGGAAGAGAAGGACCTCTGGTCCCTGAACGAAGAGGACCGTTCCCACCACGTGGTGCAGCGGCTACTGGAGGCATGGCAGAAGCAGGAAAGACAGGCAGCAAGGTGAGGCCCGCCCTGGGTCCCCTTCCCCTGCCCCCATCGCTCTGGCTCCTCAGGACACCCCCAGTGGGTGCCGCCGTGCCAGGCTCTGATGACAGATGACACCCTATCCAAGGCATGCATGGTCCGTGGGACTTAGATGAACATATTTAATCTCTCATATCCATCGAGTGCCAATTCCCTTGTCCCTGTGATACACAGGGGCACGCTGAGGCACATAGGTTTACTGGTGTCCCCAGTGCTGGACTCCATGCCTGGCCCTCTGGCCCAGAGCTCCTGTTCCCACCATTACTCTCCCCTGCCTCAGCCCAGCACTCCCTCCTGTCTCCTATGTGGAGGCCTCACGACCAGGACCCCAGACCTGCCCCCTGCCAACTTCCCAGCAAAGACAGTCCAGAGGGGGGTCTCAGTCCCTCCTGAGCAGTCAGCGCCTCCCGCTGGCCACTCCTATTGGAAGACCCAAGAGCTTGGGCTCAGGTAGCGACATCCTGACTTCCACAGCTTGGGGCCCCTGGGATGGCCTATGCCACCCTCTCCCACCGCCATATCCTCTCTCTGTCCTTCCCCTCTCCACCTCTCCCTGTCCACCTCACATTCTCCCTGGAGCCACCCCATAGGGGCAGGGAGGACCAGAGGCTGGGCAGAGCAGGACTGATGGTCTATCCACCCCTAAAAAGCCTCCAGGAGCTGCCTGTGGGGTCACCAGGCACCCTTGTGCTGTTGGTTCCTCTCCCAGCCTGGAGCCAAGAGAACGGCTCCCCAGGTGCTCAGACCTAACCAGCTGGCCTGGCCTTGAACTCAGGCCTGGTGCCTACTCCACCCCTGTTCTTTCTTCCCTGACCAGGCCCAAAGCTGCAGAAACTCCTGGGAAGAGCATCTCCACAGAGGGTGAGGTGTTGCTGGGAGACCAGCCCCGGGCCCGGAAGCCCTCCTTCCTGTGGGCTCTGGTGACAACCTTCAGCTACAGCTTGCTCATCTGCAACGGCTTCAAGCTGATGGAGGACCTGCTCAACTTCGTCAACCCGCAACTGCTCAGGTCTCGCCACAGGGCCTCCCCTTGGGGCTGGAACAGACAGAAAAGGAAGCCTCCCCTGTCCTCCTTCCTGTGTGACTCTCAGCAGGTGGTCCTGCCCCTGCACCTCTGTTTCCCATAGACACTGCACTTGTATGCAGGGCTGCATACTGCGGAGCAGCTCTGGTTCCCTGCCAGCCTTCTCTCTGTAACTCATTTCTGTGTCACAAATGCCAGCGCAGACTCTCAGTGCAGACAGGTGAAGCAACCCGGCCAGGGGCACACAGCTGGCAAACAGGAGTGAGATCTGAGCGCAGGGGTCTAGATTCCCGATGCTATTCTTCCAACCACCACTGGGCTCTGTTATTCACCTTCCAAGAGCTTGGACGAAAAGGGGCTCTCCAGAGACAGGGAGGTGTGGAGGATTGCCCTGAAGCTGAACTCTGTTCACTCATTCACTCATTCAGCAAACATATAGTAAGTCCCAAGGGTCCAGAATGCTGCTAGGCACCAGGATACAAGATAATAAGAGGCAGTCTTCAGGTCTTATGGGAGAAACCAAGTAGAACTCATTTAGGATATGGCAAGGCAGAGGTGTGCCGGGTGCCTGGAAACTCCCTGGCAAGGCCCAGGAAGGCAGCTGGGGACAGCAGGGGACCTGCTAGCTCAGGAGCTGATCAGGCAGGTAGGTGTAGGAGGGGGAAAGGGCGGATGCTGTATGATTCAGGGCTCCAGGTGGCCCTCACTCCCTCTGCAGCAAAGGGTGTGTGGGGAGGGGCAGGAAGCAGAGGGGGTGCCAAGGCAGGGCTGGCACCAAGGGAGCCAGGGAAGGGCAGCTGGTTTGCATTTCAGAAGGGTGGCACTGCCAGCACCGTGGGAAGTGTAGGGCAAGGCCGCTGGGTGGAAGGGGGCCAAGCAGGTCAGATGGGCGTGCAGGGAGGACCGGGATTCAGCAGCTGTGAGGAAGATGGGCTGGGTGTGTGCGGGGTGGGGGGGAGCCAAGGCAAGCTGGGTTCGGCCTGGGTACCTGGAGGACACTGGACCTTTTTCACTGGATGATGAGCTCAGGAGGAGGAGGCAGAGACTGGGCATGGGGTAAGGGGTTGGGCTAAGTTCTGGCCATGTAGAGCCAGAGGTGGTGGTGGGCCGAGATTCCCAGCTAGTTGGAGATCGCGTCAGCAGAAGCATTGTCCAGGTCTGGGGCTCAACTCTCCTGCTGAGCCCATGGAAAGAGGCAGGAGGAGAGCCCAGCACAGCCCCGGGAATCCTGACCAGTCCAGGGAGAGCCCTGGATGGCTTAGAGGGTCCAGAGCTGGGCACAGAAGCTGGGGTGTGGGGCAGAGCACAGGCTCAGCTGGCCCTTGAGCCACATCCTGCCAAAGGCAGCAAGGAGCTGCTTAGTCACTACGAAGGACACAGTCTGGGCCAGAGGGGAAGTCTCCACCTGTGATGTGACCAAGGACGCCAAAGTACAGAAAACTGATGCAAAGAGAGATGTGTAGTCTGCACAGCTGCTCCGGTTCGTTAGCACCAACTGGGGGTTCAAAACAACAGAAATGCATCCCAAGAACTGTGGAGGCAAGAGGTCCAAACTCCAGCATGGGGCAGGCTGGGTCTTTCTGGTGGCTGTGGGGGAGGATCTGGCGCATGCCTCTGCCCCGGCGTCTGCTGTTGCCAGCAGCCCAGGTGTTCCTTTGCCATAATGGTACCCCTCTCTGCCATCCTCACACAGTGTGTGTGTGGACACCCCGTGCTGTATGGCTCCACTTACTTACAACTGCCAGGCCTTGCGTCCAAGTGAAGCCACCTTTGTAGGTAGAGGGTCAGGCCCTGAACATTTTGGGAGACACGCTCAACCCTTGGAGAAGGGGAGGCCTGGCTCTCAGATAGCCGGCATGCTCTGTGTGTCCCGGGGAAGATGCACCCCACCCCAGGGAGATCTGCTGGGAGAGGGGAGGCTATGGAGGATCACACACCCCAGGTGTATTCCTGCAGAGGTTGGGCCCCAGGTCCAGGGGAGGCAAGATCGGACTTCAGAGCTGGAGGGACACCCGCCATTCCAAGGCAGGAGCAAAGGCTGTGGGACGGATATGGAGGGAAGCTTGTGGGTAACAGGGAGTGGTTGGATAGGAAAACTGGGATCTGCCAAGAAGGTCAGGGAAAGGGTCTGTAGGTAGGAGAAGAGGGAGGAAGAAGGCCAGGAAGAGAGGTGTCGGAAGGGTGGATCTGAGGAGTGAGTGTCCATGCGGCCCTGTGATGTTCTCCAGAACCTTCTGCAGCCCAGGAAGGCCTGCTCTAACAGCGTGGTATCACTCCCTGTGACACTGGCCAGGCGTGTTGTTGGCATACACCTATGATCCCAGCATTCTGGAAGGTTGACGCAGGAAAATTGCAGGTTCAAGTCCCACCTGGGCAACTTAGCAAGACCCTGTCTCAAAGTAGAAAAAAAAAA